TTCCAATCACAGACTTTGCTTAAAATCAGTAGAAACATAACAAAAATGAAATCAATAGAAATAGCATTTGATTTTATCGTGTCAAAATTAAATGTAATAAGTTTATAATAGCAATGTCATTTTAAACCTTTTTCATCATTGCAGCATTTTTGGTTTACACTTTTAAGATCAACAAGACTAATCGTGGTAAAACCATAGAGATGTTTGGTGCTGGCGTTAGCATCATTTGTTCGAGATCACAATATAAAAATAGTAAAAAGTTCTGTATTCAAAAAACAAAGGGAGGTCCGAAAAGATGTAAAAAACGGATAGAATCTAAGCTGAATTCCTTCTGAAAGCAGTTTTGTTGGTAAAGACCAGCCACTAGGTCTTGAGTTGTATATTTCACCAGACTACTGGTTAATTTTTAATATTCTAGGTTATAGTTTGAAAAATGCCGACGGACAAGACTCCCTCAGACTTTTTGGATACAATGAATTCCAAAACTTTTAAAGTCTTTGTTGCTTACAACTCATCAGAACTCACAGCAAAATTGTAAATCTATTGACCATAGTTTAAGAAATTTATTTCTCAAAACAAATATTTCTTTTAATACTTTTAAAAACAAGAAATATATTTCTTGTTTTTAAAAGTAAATTTCAGGGAAGAATTTATATCTTTTAAAACAAGAAACGTGTTTCTTGTTTTAAGAAAAATATTTCGTAATAAAAAAAATTCAATTTTGCTGTGCTTACAGTAAAATTTATTCAAGATAATGTATTAATGAATTCTTGTAAAAAAACATTTAAAAAGAAGAAGAGTGGATTCAAAGAGCTGGCTACGGCAACTGCTTTCTCGCTTTCTAATTTTTGAATGGTTATAATAATTTGAATTTTGATCCGATACTTAATTGCAAACTCTAACCCTAAAATTTAAATTTTTTTTTACATAATTTCTTGGATTCTAGGAAAAAATCCCCCGGAAAAAATCCCCCCGAAATAATCCCCCGAGAAAAAATCCCCCCGAGAAAAATCCCCCCGGAAAATATTCCAAAAATTTTTTTTACTTAAAAATTATCAATATGCAGTTATGTATACTTCTTTATCTATTTTAAATATTTATATAAAACACTTCATTTTTCATCAAAATGGCAAGTTATGCTCTATTCCTTAAAGGTAGCAAATGTGAAACGCTAACCCTAACCCTAACCCTGACGAACTGCGAACTGGTAAAATGTGAACTTTTGTGCGAACCACCGTAGTTGATTTAGCGGTATATTTTAAGGACTTTTAAGCGAAAAAATTATTTAAAAAAAATAAAAGGAAATTAAGTGAAAATAGACAAATACAATATGAATATATATATATATATATATATATATATATATATATATATATATATATATATATATATATATATATATATATATATATATATATATATATATATATATATATATATATATATATATATATATATATTTTAATTATTCGATAGACTGCTTGCCCAAACCAAACCCTCAATTGATGTAGCAGCGCTCCGATGCAAGTCAGGCTATTTGTCAGTCGATGTAGCAGCACTCCGTTGCGAGTCAGACTAGAAGATAGTCGGTGTTAGTTAAAAAACAAAAATTTTATTTTAGATAAAGCTTTAAAATAGATAATTAAGAATTAGAGAGTTTTTTTTATTATTATTTTTATTATAAAAGTAATGGTCTTTAAAATATAATGTTTTGTTTCGCAAAAAAGTTCGCATTTTACCGGTTCGCAGCTCGCGGTGCGCAGTTCGCATTTTACCGACATTTTGATGAAAACTGAAGTATTTTATAAAACTATTTTAAACAAATATAACTATTTTATTGATAATTTTTAATTAGAATTTTTTTTTTTTTTGGGGGGGGGAGGGGTATTTTGCAGGGGTATTTTTTCTCGGGGGGTTTTTTTCCGGGGGGATTTTTTCTCGGGGAATTATTTTGAGGGGATTTTTTCCTGCTTTTTTTTATTTATTTTTTAAATTTATATTAAATTATATTATTAAATTTATATGTATTTATTGCACATTTGCTGCGTTTAAACACTGAATTCTGAAGCAAAGTTGCTTTAGAAACAAAAGATCTGTAGCAGTAACGGATCCAGCATTGGTGTTTGAGATAGCTAACTTCCAGACATGGAGCAAATATTTGTATGTTTATAATTATTTCAAATAATGATGCTCTTTAAAAAGTTGAAATGATTGGAGGCTGGGGACAAAAAAAACCCTAAAACTTTTATCTCCCTGCCCAAAACGTGAGAGCAACAAGTTAATGAAATAATCATTTTGCTATTCTTAGCTAAATTTATATTCATCAAATAAATTTTAAGTATCGTATTACAATCTCTAAGCGTACAAAAATTATGACCATATAAGATTTGTAACCCGGCAAATTGAGGGAGTTTAGACTTTATATGAGTTTAGACTTTATATGGTCATAGTTTATTAACGCGATAATACTATGAAACGTAAAATTTATTGATGAATATAAACTTAATTAAGAATAGCAAAAAAATTATTTCATCAACTCGTTGCTCTCACGTTTGGGGCAGGGAATAAAATTTCAGGTTTTTTTTTGTCTCCAATGGTCGTAATATCTTGCGAAGCATCATTATTTGACATAAGTATAAACATACAAATGTTTAGAGTTTGCGCTGTGTCTGTTAGCTATCTAAAGCACCAAAAAATGCTGGATCCTTCACTGATCTATGGGTTCGATGCCTACTCTGACAATGGCTTTTTTTTCGGCATAAAGCATGCGTAAATTTCCTAGTTAAATGCTCTTCTGCGGTGCTCTGTGATGTGATCATTAGGTCTTCTTAAAGCACCTAAAATAACCACAGAAAAAAAGAAAAAGACATTTTTGTCAACGTTACTGGTAAAAATTCTCGAAAAAGAGTCTTACTTTTTATTACCTAAACTGAAACAAACTTCATTTTTCATCTTTATCTAGAACAATTGATTCTAAAACAATTGATTCTAGAACAATTGTTCTAGAATCAATTGTTCTAGAATCAATTGTTCTAGAATCAATTGTTCTAGAATCAATTGTTCTAGAATCAATTGTTCTAGAATCAATTGTTTTAGAATCAATTGTTCTAGATTCAATTGTTCTAGAATCAATTGTTCTAGAATCAATTGTTCTAGAATCAATTGTTTTAGAATCAATTGTTCTAGATTCAATTGTTCTAGATTCAATTGTTCTAGAATCAATTGTTCTAGATAAAGATGAAAAACGTCAGACACAAAATGAAGCTAAAAAAACTTAAATGAAAATAAAAACTTTTGATGTTGCTTTTATGACGGAGCTTTGATACAATATCATGTTGCGATTTGATGCTACTTCAAAACTAGATCAAACTTCAGAATAGAAGTGCTGATTTAGCTCTTGATGAATTGCTTCAATCTTTTATGGAATATATGACATCAGTTCGTGAAGGTTTTTGTGACATTTAAGAATGTGCTGGAATGTTCTCAAGCGTGATGGAATACTCTCAAGCGTGCTGGAATACTCTCAAGCGTGCTGGAATGCTCTCAAGCGTTATTCCTAAGCAGTACAAGCATTAAAATACAAGAAAAAAAAGTCAGAATTGGTGAGAATAGAGACAGAATGAAGTTGGTCTAATTGACAAATTTAAAATTAAACAATTTTTTCCTACCATAGACAAGTTGAAATTGAGTTTTAAAAAAAAGGATGTTGATCTCGAGTTTGCAGAGAAAAAGTTTGTTTTTCTAAATAAATTTTCTAAATATTCCGACCATGATCGTTCATGTAATTGTTGCCAAATCCTCGTGTACAATTTATACTTCAGACTTAAGCAAAAAATTCCATGATGAAATTGTCAAGTTTTCTAAGTTCATTAAAAGTAAGAAAAATATAGCAGCAATAGAATATTTGCTAGCAATTCTTAGGAAAAAGATAGGATCAGTTTTTTCCAATGCTGACGTTACACATCAAATTTTTCTAACCCCTTCCATTACTAATCGTAGTCCAGAAATAAAATTTTCAAATACCGCAAATCATAAAAATGGCCGTTTAAATGATCTTGGTTAGATAAAAAGCAAAAGAAAAAAAAAAAAACAACAAAAAAAAAAAAAAGAAGACAAGCCGAAAAAAGTTTTATGCGCCTAGTCTAGAAAAATATCTTATAGAAATTTATAGATCAAAACTTGTCAACATTTTGACAGTCACTATTTTAAAATTTAGGGATCTCAAACTCCCATTTTACATTTACTAAAGGGTTTGGGAACGACTATCAAATAGACTTAAGTTATGCAGACAATAATAAACTTTTACAATAGACATTGATAAATGCGATATTAAGGGAGTATTTTGACTGTGCAAACATTAATTAAACAATGTGAATCAATATTTATTTATGTCAAACTATTTTCAATTTAAACAAAAATTATTTTAAGAATTTAATAGTGCAAAAGAACAGTATCCATGATTAGCATGGAGCTGCCTTAATTGCAAACAGTAAAATAACTATTTCGAAAAACTTAATGAATTTGTTTAGCATTGTAAAACGTGTCAAACTTGTAAAAGGATTTCTCTCATTTTTTTCCTTGTCTTTAACGGCGCATTACCAAAATAATTATTTTAATGATGGTTTAGGCGGAACATTTTCAAAAGTTTTAAAAACTTAAAGCTAAAGTATTAAAAAACTTTTGGAAGTTGCATTAGGTTAGGTAAAATTTGTAACTGGAACTTTGTTTTGAAAAAAATATTTTAGCAAGTTTTATTTAGAGACTATTCTTAACAGGCGTGTTAATAAAAGTCTTTTTTTTTTAATATTGAAGATCCCTTCCAAGATGTTCGTTTATTCCTCGAGCTGCTCCGGGCACTAATTATCCTTAAATAGCTTTGAAATAAATATCTTTAAATAAAATAAAAATATGTAATAAAATATAATAATATATTCGTATCAAATGCTCATTGTTTTTTTTCAAAAGTAGTAATTCAATGACACCTTATTTGTACGCACATAATCGGAATGATTGGCATACACTTAATCAAGATAAGCGTGTAAATCTTTGATTAAGTTAGATTTGTGTATTTTTCTTAGCTTTAACATCCTGAAACAGTAGAGCAAATATAAAAAAACCAACAAGCAATATTCAATAAATTGAAGTCCAACAAGCAAACAGAAATTTTCAATA